AACAGTTTCAAATGTTGAAAAAGCATTTATCATATTGTTTAAAATTTTCAATTAATTTCAAGACTGCAAAGAATTCAAAAATTTAAAATTGATGCAGTGTATAGACGACGAATTACGCAAATTACATTTTATTTGATTTACCTAACCATGTAATATTCGTACTCTATCACAGTACTTATGAATTATACATGAAGTTTAGTAGCAACATGAAATGATATGACATTATATATGAAGATGATTTTAAAATTATTCGCAAAAATTGGATAGAACTAATAGAAATGTTGGGAAGGAAAATATTGAAATAACTCTGGAAAAAATAGCGAAATATTTTGAAGTATAAAAAATGCAACTGATTAATGCCAAGTAAAATTAACATTTTGATATTGCTATCTAACATGAAATGGATGATGATATAAGATATCAAATTGTTAATTAATAAATACTTCACTGGCCAAAGATGAAATTTCAAAGATCATAATTATTGGTTTTTTGACATTTGCCTAATTGGATTAATAATGATGATGATGAAAGTTGGATACAATTTTAATAATGTCAGCTGTAAGGAATGCTAGCCAAAAGATTTCACTGTTATGCTTATCAGATTCGGTTTTTTTTTTAGTTTGAAACAGTCCTTCTAAGAAGGTTCTTTTGTGCAAAATAAATACAATTCATGTAAAATTTTAGCAGTTTATGAATTCTAAAGCAAGAATACAATTGTATGAATTTCTCAATATGAATTAACCAAAGTTGACCGTTATACTTCTACCAGTAGTAGAAAATATGCCAAGCAAAATGCGTTTTTTCATGCAAGCATTAAAAATTTTTTTTTGTTTAGTAAAATAAGACATGAAATTAATTACCACCTATGATAATTGTAATTGGAAGGAATGAAGATTTTGGAATATTGCGAAGTTTCTCAGAGATTCAGTGTAGAACCAGGAAATTTAGTGATCGTTTTTACGTTTTTGTTAATTCGTTAATAAAATCCGACTGTGTTTGTACTAAGAACGATTTTGAGACAAATCTCATTTTGAAATTTGATGAAAATTTCTTTCATTAGATTGGACAGAGGTAAAAAGAGTACCTTCTTCGAACGTATTAATAAAAGAAAGAGAAAGGCTTACCCAGTGAAGCAATTTCTTCCGTCTTCATCATTAATAGAATATTTGAACGGGGATCGGTAATCTCTAAGTAGATATGATGAATATACTGCAGCATGCATTATGCCATTTCAGCATAATCCAAAATTACTATATTAAAATTCTTTTAGCGCATAAGACTTTTGTTTTTTTTACGCTTATAATTGTTTTCTCCTTTTTCGTTTTTTTTTTTCTTAGAAAAAATTTCCTGAAATATGCAGGATAGAAATGCAACATACATGTTCATAGGTAATTAATTAGATTAATGAATACAGCTATCGAAGTTAAATCCAGATTGGAAATTTGAATTTTACAAGGAATACAAAAAAAAGCTAGGAGAAATGAGTAAGCAATTTATCCTCCTTTTCATTCTCACTATTATTTTCACATTCATCCTTTTTCAAGCTTCATATCATTTCATTTCCCTGCGGTATTTACCACCACCACAACTAATTTCTCCCCACTTTTTCGTTTAGAATTGTAATGGTGTACCTTTTTTTTTTAACTTTTCTAGCAATAGCTTTCATTTTCTTCATGTCTATTTTTCCAATTTCCGAAAAAAATCTCTGATATAAAAAATTCAATTACTGCATTTAGTCAGTGTGCCTTAAAGTGAGGAATCTTAAATGAATATTCCAGAATTTTAAATCGATAGTTTATGTTAATGTTAATTTAAAATGATTAAACATAGATTAATGATTTTAATATGAATTATTTTGGGGGAAAAAACGAAACTACAGAATCAGATTATTTGTGCAGGAAAATAGAACATAATAATGCTTAACTTATTTGAAATTTTCAAATAGTGATCATTTAATAGAACTAGCATTGAAGGATGAAACTACACGTATTACACGCAAGTTGCAAATAAAATGTTATAACAATGCATAACATTTTCTCCATTAAAGAGAAATTTTGTCCCTAAGATTATACCATGAAATTCATCAATCGTACAGATGTATAACTATGTTGTTCAGTTGCGCTAAAAAGGTTGAAGCAAAATTTGAGATGAGAAGTTTGTTAAATTGCTAAATCAATCTAGCTAGATGAAAATGTCCAAAAATAAATGGCACATGCTTGATGAAATAGAAGTTATCAAGTGATGTGATGGAAGAGAAAAAGATAATTACGTGTTATTTCTGAAGATGTTTCATTAACTGATATGAGAAAGAAAAAAAAAATCAGGATGACCGTATCAGTAGTTTACTTTATGCTTTTCTACAGCAATGAAATGAATGAGCAGAGACTAAAGATAATAAAAAACTTTTTGAATTTTAATTTTTTATTAGAAAAATTTCCCAAAGTTTGGAACTTTTTTCATTTTTTACAGTAATTGTTATTGATCGATACAATATAATCAATTGTTACTTATTAATTTGTTTTTTTATAAGTGCTATTTTAATAATAATATCAGGATAGTGGAAGTTGAACTTAAGGACTTATGAAATTCAAAGCTAAAAATGATCATAAAAATTCCATCTTTTATTTGCTTAAAAATGCATTACGATGTTTCAATTCCTGGAAATTTATATTTATTACTCACTATTTAAATGTATTTTGTCGTATTGAAAGAGGTGTTAAAATTACGAAAGGAAAAAGAGAGTCTAAATTTTCGATTAATTTAGACAGCAGATGATTAAAGAAATTTTCTCAGTGCTTTGAAGAGAGTTTAGTATGTATTACTTTATTTTCTCTTCCTAATTTAAAAATTTTCACCCAAAAATATGAAGCTTTTTCTATTAATCAAGTTTTCCGATTTTGTAGTATATATTTATAGTTTGCTTAACTGTCTGCAGTGCAATAATATGAATCGATAATTTAATTAAGAGAGAAATTTGTACATTAATTGCATTCTATGATAGCCACCGTGTCCTTTATGACTATCAAATCAGAACAGTTTTTTTTTTTTTTTTTTAATTGAACAGAAAGCTTGGAGATTTTTGTACATTGCGCTTATAATAGTTTAAAATTTCGTGTTTCTCCTAGAAAAGTTTTCATAATTTCTTGAATAGAAAATATAGATTTCTGAAATACGCATATCATTTAAATTCAACAGAATCATTCGGGAATTCAAGCGAAAAAAAATTATTTTTCTTGAGACAAAGAGTAAGAAATACAGTTTACATGTTTTAAAGTTAGAATTTAAATTCAGTGAGTATAATTGCTTTGGTTATTTGATAGTTTATTTTAAAAAGATGAAGATCAATTCGAATTCTTCGAATAAAACATAGCAATTAAGCACAATCAAATTTTTTAAACTTAAAATTAAGAAAGCAAATAGAAATATAACAATTTAACTTCTACTAAAAGTTATTTAAATTTTTGGCGGAAGAATATATGTGATTTTATAATATAGTATGAAGATCTTTTCCTATTAGAATGTCATTAGATCGCCATACTTTTTTGTATTTCTCTGAATAAAATTCGAAGAAATGCTATGCTATGCTCATTTCAATTTTTTTTATCCTTCTGTTCAGAGTCTTACAAATTAAAAAAATTTTTTTTTATTTTAAAACATTTAGAAATGTGAAACATATGAAATATAATACTTACTTGGCAATACGCATGATGAAATGTTTGAGATAGCTAATGTTATTCTTTCGTAGTACGTTCTATTTCTATTTGCTCAATTTGAAACTTAAATTACCCTACAATTTTCATAATTTGACGATTGAACAAAAGTAGAAATTGTTGTTGTCGATAAGAGAGAAAGAAATGCAGAATTTATGGCTCAGTTATTTCATGATATTTAATAGCTATTTATATCAAAGTGATTTTTTTTCTGAATATGAGATACAGCTTTACTGTTTGTCACGAGAATATTAAAATGGAGGAAGACTTCATGAAAAATTAATTTCATGACAGCAAGTTCTGTTTTTTTGACAAATTGTTTAATTAAATTTAGTCAAAACATTAGAAGAATAAAGTTAATAATTTGTTATGTATAGAAATATCAAAAGCGCAAATTTATAACTCAATATTGATCAATTGTTTCACTCTTTGTTTAAAAATTTTTTCGGAGAAAGTTTCAGTGAAACTAATGAATTAAATTGAACAGTTAGAAAACTACAATAACTAAAAATGAATTTTATATTTTATTTACTATTGTAATTACAAGATCAGATGTTTTCCGTAAAGTTCGATATAAAGATTTTCCATCTGTGATCTACAAAGAATATGTTATGTATAACTCAGTTAAATAAAAATACGCAGTTTATTTAAAGAAGTTAAAGACTTGAAATTATGCAAATATGATAAATTCTTTCAAAGTTCTTAGAGGTTATTGGATGCTAGTTGAATATATTAAAAAACATCGATTTTTATAATGCATTTTTTGAATGTCCAATATTTTCAAAGTGAATGGTTTCTTAGAAAATAAATATAAATAATAAATGTAGCGGCGACAAATGATAATGAATAAATGATTAAGAAATACAATTATCTTATCTCATATTCCAAGCATTCAATTGTAAATATAAATCAGAAAATTGGAAATGAAAATAAAGCAAAAGAGCAATAATAAGTGACAAGTTCATTCACTAGAAATCCAAATTCAAATTCAATTTTTTGAATAACATTTCTTGCTTACGAAATTTTTGGATAAAAACAAAAATGCATGCATTTTTAAAGTATAATATCAATCGAAAAAAAAAATAGTGGAATGAAAAGTTGATATGTCACTATCTAGTGGATGAACTTATCACTTATTATTGCCCTTTTAAGGATAAATAGTTACAATATTATATATTTACTCATTGTTTATTGGCAAAAATTTTTTTGATATAATAACAATTAATCTTATTTGTCTGTAATCGTTATACATGCTATGCTTCCATTTGTAAGATATAGGATGCAAAATAAATGATCGCCTTCCGGAAAAAAAAAGAGGTTTACCTCTTTGGTAAGTATTAGTTGTGCAATCTGTTGCAAAATGAAACGGAAAGTGAAATTAGGATCGATTTATTTCATTTCCTGTTTTTCGATTCGTAAATCATAAGATGGAATATATAATTTCAGCTGTCATTTATACGAAAAAAATGTGAATGTAACGAAGAAAAATAGCAAATATAAAGGAAGAAATTTGAAGGGAAAATAAAATATCAATAAAAAGCTATTAATAGAAAGAACATTAATGTTCATTAATCAAAAATTTTATATTAGTATTTTGCAGATAATAATTATCATATCGGTATCGATTAATGATTGAGATAGTAAAACATATTTAAATCTTTATCTTTTGATATTCAGCAATTTTTAACTTCTCAACAAACTGGAAATTTTGTGACCAATTTTTAATTTTAAATGAATTCAAACAGTGATTTTTAATGACATTTCGAGTAATCATTCTAATAAAGATAAGACATCACAAAGATTTACTTTTTTAAAAGTGTTTTTGAGATTACAGTTTGAAACACGGACATGATTGACTTTATTTGAATATTGAAAAATATTGAGCATTTGTTTCTAATTTATTAACAAATGAAATGGATTTATATGAATGAAAAAATATTCTTCACTACTGATAATGATGCTTTCTAAATTGGCAAATTAAATTATTAAAAAAAATTTTTTTTCCAGGAAAGCCGAGTCCAGATGTGGAATGGCTGGACACAAACGGTAGACCAATTACGGCAAAATTTGATCGTTTCAAGGTATCTTAATAGTTAATTACTGTCAAGATTATGAAAATTATCTAATCACTTAGGATAATATTTCTCCCTTGTCAATAGTTGACACAGGTAAAGGAAAAATATTGCGCTAAGATATTGGATAATCTTAGTGATATATGCTAAACAATATATAAGTTTGTTAAAGTAGCTCAAGAACTAATATGCTGCCAAAAGTAATCGGGATATTTTAGAACATTTACTAGTAATATATTTAACAGCGAAGTTTTAACTAAGAAATGAAAAAATTGAGGTTAGAAAAAAATGACAGTGATTTCTTTGCTAGTTTTATCTCTCCATAAAATTGTTATTAATTATTGAACAATTCAAAATCATTTAATAAAATTGCATAAACTTTTATTCAACAAATTTAGATATAAAATTTAAATTTCAGGTAACAACAGTTGGCCGATTGACAATACTTGCAATATTGGGAGTGGATAATGATGTGCAAGGCAAATATTTGCTTAAAATTAAAAATGAACTGGGAGAAGCGAAATGCGAAATTCCTGTTAAGGTTTGATTTTTTTATATTAAAACTTTCATCAAAAATTAATTGGATTCTGTAAAAAATATTAGAATTCAATTGAAAAAGTTGTATGGCTTTGTCTTGCAAAAATACAACTTTAATTTTCCTTCATTGTACTTTAAAAAATAATACGCTATGTTGAAATATAAAATTGCAGCTTAAACATAGCACCTATGACTGAGCTACTGATTTTGAGAAGAGATTATAAATTAATTAAAATAAAATCTTTGCATGACATATAAATCCTGATCAGTACGAGATTAAATTAAATTTTTATGAGTAAGATGAAAAGTAATTTCAGTAGGACTGATGATTTTAGCACTACTTCTGTTTTTAAAATGATTGAAAGTGCATCTACCTTCGTAATGATTTTATGTAATTTTGGAATTAGTAAACAGAAATTTTTACTTAATCATCACTGTTTTCTGAATTCTTGTATTTTCGTCCGATCGCTTCAGGTTCTGGAATATCCAATTGCACCGGATCGGCCAATACTTGAAAAGCTGAAATTCAATTCGGTGAGCTTGAAATGGAGTGCAGTGCCAGAAGCTGCTAGTAAAAATGTACGATATATCATTGAAATGAAAAAGGTTAATTTTACTTTACGAGAAATAACTTTGCTTGAGAATTTTTGGAGTTTTCTGCAAGCAATGTAAATAAACGTCACTTTTTTGATTGACTTCTACTTGCTTCTCCATCTTTCAACTTTCCCAATGCGTGACTTATTGGGATTTTTTAATAAGATTAAATTTTATGAGAAAAGTTGAAAATTGGTTTTGTTAATTTTGGCTTTTATATTAGAGATAAATTAATTGGCTTAAGTATCCGAAATGTTTTATACAACGTCCCTAAAAATTATATGTAAATAAGAGAGGGAGAAAGCAGAGAAGAGAGAATCTAATATTGTTTGCGTAATTTCAAATAAAATGATGCCATTAGGATAAGTACTAGAAATTGATTTAAAAGAACTAATTATTATTTTCTTTTTTTTTTTGATGATCATGAGAAGAAGATGAGAAAATAATTCAAGAATGTAAAGTATAAACAAAAATTTATTTGAACGATTGACATAATGCAAGTATTTTATTACTTATAATTTATCATTTCTATTGATGATTACTTGTTACAAAATTAATTGCAGTTTAAGATCATAAATTTGAAACTTTAAGTGGCCTGTTGAATTCATCTTTATTAATTAAAATGAGAATCACAACAATCAAAATTTTTTTACTAACTTGAATAAGCTTCTTTAATTCTATAACAACCGTGCTACGAGATTTGATGGAATTTTGGAAAGCATTTTTTTCACCTCACAATGATTATAAAAGTATTTTTCATAAAAAAAAATTATTAAAAGAGATGGTTGATTGATGAGAATTAGCAGACATAGCGAATAAGACATAATAATCGGTGGCATTGGTTACTAAACGTGGTCTTGGAGAAGAATTGAATTATTTTTATTCATCAAGTTGAAGCTGATTGTAGTTTTTGATAGAGCTTATTGATTTTCTAGGTGTATTTCTTAGACTTCTCAAATGTAGCAGATTTGCTAGGATTCACAAAATTGCAGCAGATCATCAAATAATTATCATAACCGTTTTTTAATGCAAGTTAAACTTTGGATAGTATTTTGAATTGTTCACTTGCTAAGATTTTTTTCATCGGTTATCGTCACAATCTACTTTTCTTCCAGATGATCCCCATAATCATCATTGTACAGAATCATCAAAAACTTTTTTTAAACAACAGCATTTTGCTTAGCTTATCAGACATTTGATTATTGATGTTTTTCATTTTTCCAATTTGCTTTACAATCTAAACCATCATTGAATGATCAAATTTTTTGCCAACTTCTCGAATAGTTGGAGGATCAGTTTCAATGATTTCTCGAGATTAATCGTTCCCAATGTTTGGTGCCTGCTTACTACTTTTTCATCTTCAAGCCTTTTTCATATTCAAGCCTGTTTTACAAAATTAAATATTTTTTGATCAATTCCTGGAGCTAACAACACTGTTAGTGTTGGAAATTTTTTTTTTGTTGCTTTGCTATAAGCTATTTTAAACTCACCATTAAATCACCAAAATTTGATTTTTGCTTAATATCATTTCCTTTAAAATAGATAGTGAACAGTAATTAATAAACCACAAATAAAGATGAAAAAAGGAATATTAAGAACATGCATAATATAGTCAAGAAGACATTCCGACATAAAAAAGTTGAGTAGCGCAAAAAAGTGTAATATTTTATTATATACCAAAATAAACACTAACAGTTTGTTGAAAGTTCAAAATTCAAAATCAATTATCTCAAAAGATTCGATCATGAAATGTTTTAATGAAAAAGTTTTTTTTCTTTTTTTAGGAAGGAGAAGAATGGATAAAAGCGGTCGAAAGTGCTCAACTGAATGTAACAGTGAAGGAACTCGAGCCCGGTAACACGTATCGGTTCCGTGTACGTACCAGCATTGCAGATATTGTAAGTGAACCATCAGAAGAATCCGAATCGGTGAGAGCTTTTAGAAGATTTGTAGAAAAAAAGAAGCTTCAAACAAATGTTTTAAGTTAGAAAATGAAAAAGTTCAAAAATATTGAAAATGCATAAAACGAATTATTAGCATTTGGGCCGTTATTTAAAAGAGATGGCTATATAGTAGACCTGCTAAGTAAGTATAGTATCAAGTGCAGATGACTAACCAATTCAGAAAATAAGTATAAACTAAGCTACTACATCTTGTTCCCTTGTTCATTATTGCGACAAAATTAAATTAAAAGGGAGAAAACTATTTTGAAATTAAAAAAAAAAAGTTTCGAAAAAAAAACCAGATATGAAAAATTCATAGTTTTATTTTTCAGTTCAGAATTTTCCATTAATTTTTTATTAAATCTTTACATCAAATCATTTTCAAGCAATCAGAGAATAATGCGAAATACATATTCATCAGTTGTCTATCTTTCCGATGTTTGTAAAATTTTAAAGCCTATGAAATTGTATACATTAAATAGAATATACATGTATATATTTTTTGAAGTGCTATATCTTATTTCATGTTAGCATAAATCATAGGCAGATGATAATCTTTCAGAGGAATAGTTCAAGAATATAATAGAAACTTCACAAAATCAATAATATTTTTAAAAAAAATATGAATAGGATAAAAAATGATGCATTAATTTTTTTCAGTATGTTGATTAATATACACTGTTGATTTAATAAATTTATTATTCCTTTGCAGTTTTTGGTTGAATATGAGAAATTGGCAAAGAAAGAAAAGGAGCAGACAGCAGAAGAAAAAGAAAAAATTAATTATGATGAATTTATTACCGATGTGAAGCCGTCGGAATATTGTGATATCGATGTGCTACAGCTTCCCAATGATTTCGAATCAAAGGTAGAAATATATGAAGTTAATTAATTTAAATTAAAGTAAATAATAAAATTTTATGGTGACTATTTGACACTCAGTTAAAATTACTTTTGATTTCAGTTAGTGGTAGCAGAAGTGAAGAAAGATTATTTGACAAAAATACGTTTTGTTTTCTAATATTCTTGTGAATACAAAAAAAAAAGAAGAAAAAGGAATTAGAAATTCTATATGTAATACGAATCTACTTATTTTGTCACTACTGAAAACAGTTTATAATTTCATAACTTTTTGATTAATTAATGCATTTATTAGAGAAATGCGCAAAGATTTGCAAAGGAAATAGCTAAAGTTATTTTATTAATCATACAATTTTTGCGTAGAATGAACAAAAATCTTTTTGCAAATAAATAGGAGATTAGAAGCTTACACTTCAACGGATAAACAACCTATTCAAGATTTCATTTAAAAAAAGTTATTAAAAAGTTCCAATTATGGAGGCTTAGATTCCGATAATAAAACTTCGGGAAAAAATATTTTTTGTTTAGCTGTTTTGATAATCATAACTTCAAGAGCGAATTTGACACCATCCGTTACTTTTTCCTTCTTTTTCAACTCCTTTTCTTGTCTCTTTCAAATATGATTAAGAACAGATTAACATTTGCCAAATCCATAACATACGAAATAAAGTTTCAATCTTCTTTGCAATTCTGTAAATTTTTCTCAAAAATCCTAAACGGAGTGGACCGATATTGATTAAGTGCTGATATGATAGTGAATGGATGAAGTGAACAATAAGATGGAAGAGGAATTTGAAATTTATTTCCATCTGATTTTTAAATTTCCCACTATTATATGTTTTTCATTACAAGATTGGCTCCAAATTGTTGAGAATTTCAACATGTTTAGAAAAAATTAATTTTATAAGATATAATATTTTTTAGTGTCTTCCGTTAGTAACTGTTAAATATTTATTCATCATTTAATCAATCAATCAAAATGAAGTTAATTTTGATTTTATTTTTTTCGGCTGAAAAGTTTTTTGATCATAAATGAAGTTCTGCACAGTGAAATACACAATTTAATTAAATTTAAATTTAAGCGTCATTAATTAACAGAAGTAAAAAATGTTAATGAAGGAAACGTAAATATAAATGATGAATATTTAGCTGTATAAACAGTACTAATTGTAATTGTATTTGTAGTACATACTTTGTGAAAAGATTGGCGTAGGAGCTTATGGTACTGTTTACCGGGCAGTCGAACGAGCAACCGGTAAAAATTGGGCAGCAAAAATAATAAATATATGTGCTGATATGAAGAAGGAAATAATAATACATGAAGTTAAAATGATGAATGAACTCCATCACGAGAAACTCCTCAATCTTCATGAAGTATTTGATTTCGGCGATGAAATGTGCTTGATCGAGGAATTGTTAGTATTTTTTCACTAGATTAATAGCAATTGTAATGTTGAGGAAAGGTTTAAAGAATTGAGACTCTTATTAATTATGCATTAGTATGAGCTTTTATATATGAACTTATTTAAAATCAAAATTAATAAATGTTAAATTATAAATGTTGTCATTGCTTATTTGGAAAGAAAGATGTTTACATCAGGAAAATGTAAAAAAAAAAAAAA